ATTTATTCTGCAACTTATGTCCTAATAGTGGATATATTGGTGAGTCTGGAAATAATTTTAGATTTCGTTTCAATAACCATAAACAAGCCATACGGCAAAACAACCCTTATTCCCCCATAGCTAAACACTTTAATCAATCAGGACAACATTTAAAATATTTATGACAGATTTAAGTTAGGAATATCCGAACAGTGACGTTCCATATCACGTGACGTCCGCGTCTCGCGAAGGACGCTACTTGCTAACAAACAGTAATTTTAATTTATTTGCAACAAACAGTTATTTCTGATGAAAGATTGAGGACAATTTGAAATATCAAATATATATATATAAATAAATAAATACTTTCATAAAATAAAACATTATTATTTTTTAATTTGAAACTTTTTCTATATATACATATTAAGAAAGTATACGTGGCTTCTCATTATATATATATATATATATATATATATATATATATATATATATATATATATATATATATGTTGAGTTGTTTCGCCAATGAATCGGACTAGACGGTAAAATTTTCTCAACAAACTCTACGTTAGCGAGATAATTGTAAGAAGTTTAAGTGAAACGCCGACGAGCCGGGTTTGAAATTCTGTGGAAATCAGTAGACTGACATAAATAGCATTGGGGCAGGTATAAATTCTATTGTTTGCCAGCATTGCATTAAAGATAATCCCTGACTGGACATTCTAGACGGGTTTAGTAACCTCTATAGTAGAAGGACAAGTCTGAATGCAACATCGCATGAAAAAAAATGGGGCTGAACAGGTAGGTTCACTCTGAAGATAGCAGCCATTTTGAAGAGGAGTAATGTCATTATTTTGTAAGGTTTCCTCTAGATTGTAAAACGTTGATGGCGATACATCATTTCAGAAATAAGATTTTTACCGAATTTCTACTTGATTATTTATATTTATTTACTTTTTATTTATTTTATTTACAATTTGCTTATTACTTATTCATTTTACTAATTTATTTTATTTGCTTATAACTTATTTTTTTTACTATTTTATTTAATATTTGCTTATTACTTATTTATTTTATTTACTATTTGCATTTACTTTTTACTAACGTTCATTCTATACAATGATCAAGAGAAACTCATGGTAGGTTGCTGTTTAAATGTAAAATGGAAGAAATATAGCTTATGATAATATTTGGGAAATGCACACACACACAAACATACACACACGCACGAACATACACACACACATGTGTGTGTGTGTATATGTATGCGTGTGTGTTTATCCTGCCAGGTGACAAAAAAAAATGTACTGATGGCACCAGGGGGTGGAAGCCACCGTAGCCACCTTATCTGTGTTACCTCCCCTTGTTGGCGGCAGACGAGGGCATGGTCTCGCACATGCTTCCACATGATGTATGTAGAATACATATACACACACACGCGTGCGCACCCACCCACACACACACACACACACACACACACACACACACACATATATATATATATATATATATATATATGAAAGGCTCAAACACTAATATTCCATTGTGACGTCGTCCCCCGGTCGCAGCGCCGACTGTGACGTTCTATCCTGATCTACCACGGCGCCAGTTGTGACGTCCCTAAACAGCACCAGTTGTGACATCTTCGCCGCGGGGTCAGCTGTTCGCTCCTCGCCGCTCCGTCCGGGTGTCGCTGCTCCAAACGTGACGTTCTAACCCTTTGGTGATTCGGGTAGGAATCTGGTTAGATTGATACCAACCTGCTTCCAACGCCTGGTTACCAGGGTAACTGCACTGATTTCCAGTCTGCCTACCCACGTTGTGAATTCATCTTAGACAGACGAGATCAACAGGGGTTGGGGCCGTAATGCAAGCTGAGTTCAGTAGATAACACACAAATATGTATAAAAGAAAATAAAATGAAAACACACAAAGTTCAAAGTATCAAAGAAAAAGGTAACAAACTTTTTATGTCTATTTGTTCGGTACATAGGACTATGTCTACTTCCCGACCCGTTCTGTGGAGTCCAAAAGTGTGCGTGAATCTTGGTCAGCTATCTTGATGCGGTTTCAACATTGTGCGCTCATCTCTGCCTGCCGTCCGGGGCTCAAAACTTCTCGCCTTTTCATTTTCCTTTCGGCCATGTGTTGATAACAAAAAAATCTTTATTATCACAGGGCAAACGTTTATTCTGTCAAAAGAAAGAAAAATTTAGCCAGTGAAAACTTCTTGTGTGGGATTTTTAATTCTTTACACAGGGAAGACTGTCTGTGTTTCGTCAATGTTCAACAATTGATTTCTTCTTTTGGGTGACATCCATTGATAACAAAATTCCATTTTTCGTGGACAAGCGGAAATCGGTCAACGCTTGTTCGTAGGTGACCTAGATATTTTCGACATCTGATACCTATCAACTATAACCTTTATCCTCCTCATTTCCGTCTCTTAAGCCGTGTGTGTGTGTGTTCGCCTATGACCCGTCTGCTATTACTTTTTCTTTCTTTCTTCTTCGTTTTCTCTTTCTTTCTCCCAAATCGCTTGAATGCAAAGAAAGAATTATTCTTAAAACCTAAAATATTTTTCGGCCTCAAATAATTATCAAATGGTTGATAAACCGTAAAAAAAAGAAGCAAATCATATATCTATAATATTTCTTTCAAATCGCCAGGATGCATGGTGCCACAATATGGTTATAATTTATTACATTGAAATCGTAATCACGATCCAAATCATCAGACCTACTGATGTGGATCGTGATTACGATTTCAATGTAATAAATTATAACCATGGAATATTAGTATTTGAGCTTTTTAAATTACTTTTTTTTTCTCTTTCCGTGACATTGAGTTCTACCTGGATTCTATCCTCTTGGGAATTTATACACACACACACGCACACACACCCACCCATATAAATATATATATATATATATATATATATATATACACACACACAACTAATATTATCAATATATATATTGTGGAATAAAAGACATCAAAATGATATCAGCATGTACAATATGATTGAAGATATTTATTACATGATTTATGTAGAATATATATATACACACAGACACACAGAAACACACACACGCACACGCACACGCACAAACACACACACACACACACACACACACACATATATATATATATATATATATATATATATATATATATATATATATATATATATATCATCACTGTAAATATTAGTTAAATCTGGGGAGAATATAAAGCCTTGTCTTATCGCCTTTCTTTTTTCTGTATTTATTGAATTCATTCTCTATCCGTATGTAAGCGCTGTGCTAACAATATAATTAGGAATTATTATTAATATAATTCCTATTTCCAGTGTGTCATTAATGAAAAGGCACTGTTCTAATCCTAGTTCGAGTCTAACTCTTCTGCTCAGAATTCGGATGATAAGCTTTGTTATGTGGCCCATTACGCTTCTTGTCTGTTGGAGTTTGTATTTCTTTTGAACCTGGACTATTAGGTATATCGATGATAATGAATCTTTCAGCGTCGTTTCCCACTGATAGAAGTATCTCTGGAACTCCTTTTTGGGATATCGAGCAGCTGTCCTGTCAGCTTTGTTCCTTTCAAGTCGGATTTGATGTTTTTTACGAAAATGTTCCAAAGCAGGAGATCGTGGAAATATGGTAGTTGTTGAACTGGTTGTAGGACATGTTGAACATGAAACAAAACGGTTTTACAAGCTATAAGTCACTGATGGAACCTCCCTGTGGACCACAAACCACACACTTTTCTTTCCATGCGCTGCCGTAAACAACGGAACTGAGCAAGAACGATATAACTTAGTGGGCAAGGGAGTTAAATTTTAATCTGCGCAAAGCAGCTTCATTTTTTCGTACTTTAGCTTTGTTACTATAGCAACAAACCCGATACTCGCATTCTTTTATTACGTATTGTTCGTTTCAAGTTTTCAATTTCTTTAACGTTTATTTATTCCCTAAGTTTTTAATTCTTCCATTATAGATTTATTTTTCTTTTCTTTCTTTCTTTTATTTTGTCAATGCTGCCATTTATCCGCATTATTTTCTTTTTTATCTCTTTATTTATTTAGTCGTCCATGCTTTTCTTTCGTCTATTTGATAATATTTATTTAACGATTTATTCTTTTTTTTAATTTAATATATTCATTTTTATTCAATGATTTCATTTAATGTAATATTTTCCTTGCATTTTTTTTCTTTTTTGTTCATTCATTTCTTTTTTTTATCTTAGTTTTCAAATTCTTTTTTTTTTTGTATGGCTTTTCTTTCAAACTTATGTTCCTTCCTTTTTTTGTATTGGTTCCTTTATTCTTGTTTATTTTCTTTGGTCTATCGAATCTTGTTATGAGTTACTAATTTTTCATTCTTTTATCTTTGATTTCATCCTTTCTTTCGAAACTATTTGTAATCATTTTGTGTGTTTTTTCGACTTTGATTTATTTATTTTTTCTATAATTTAATTATTTGCTTGTTTTCTTTTACACCGCGTTTTTATTTCCACTTTTCTTTTTCTTCTTCGTTTTGTTTCCTGCGTCACAAATCCTGAAAAAAAAAAAAAATTTTTATACTTTCTTTATCTCAATTAGAAATATGTCAGATATCTTGCTAAAATTTTTATTTTTTTTTTATCGCGCAGTATTCATACAGTAGTCTAAACTTTTAGTTTTAATATCCTTTTGCCTTTGTTTTTACTTGTTCCCTTTCTGTTACACTGACATACAACTTTGTTATCATTTCATATTTGACAATTACATTTTTTCTTCTTCTTCTCTACATAACAATAGTTCTTTAATCGCTTCTGCCTTTCCACGCCCTTCTTTAAAAAAACAAAAAAATAAAACTAAGTCTTATCTTTACTTGATGATTACAGTTTTCTGTTTTATTTTGTTTTGTTTTTGTTTTTTCTCTTACTATTCGCTTTATTTATGACTTCGTATGTGTTCTTCTCTCACCCACTTCCAGTGCGTATCTGTACTTAGATCCTTAACGCTCGAGCCACTTAAGGTCCTCCCCGCACAACCCGACTCCTGCTACGCGCTTCGTTTTTCTGTTCTTTCTTTAATGAATTAATTCGATTAGGTGAATTCCCCAGGTGTTCATATGCATCTGTGCTAAAATGTATTTCTTTCTTTCTTCTTTCTTTCTTTTTTCTTTTTCTCTCTCTCTTTCTTTCTTTGCCGTTACCTATCTATATATCTATGTATATTCTCTGTATATCTCTCTCTCACTTTCATTCACTCACCCTATCTATCTATCTATCTATCTATCTATCTATCTATCTATCTATCTTAAATCTTAATTGCTAGTATGTACGTATATATGCATGTATATGTATCTATCTATCTGCCCATCTATTTTGTCATTTACCTCTTACCTATCTATTTTTCTATGTAACTCTGCATGCTTCTACCTCTCTCTCTCTCTCTCTCTCTCTGTATATATATATATATATATATATATATATATATATATATATATATATATATATATATATAAACATTTTAGCCGTACAGAACTAGATTATTGCTTTAAAACATTCCTATTATTATTACTAGTTATAGTGAAAAATAAAAGAGAAAAAACAACCGGTTTCGCACCCCCAACCCCAACGCTTCAAGTTTTTTAAATAAAGACTATGCAAGTAAAATATAACGAATTTAAAATTGTGAATGATTAAGAAAACAAAAAAATAATAGGGGGTGTATTAGAGACTAATCATAGCAAGACCAAGCAAACAACCACGCTGTTTACACAGAGAAGGTTTGCGAGACCTGATATAAATAGACTCAAGTACATTTAAATGAAAATTTGAATGTGAATGAAAGAAAATATTAAAGCATTCAGCACTGAATTCAACAGCAAACATTCTTTTTTTAATAAGGTTTTCCCAACTTGAGGAACCGTAGGTATTATGGATGAATTCATTTTGATCAAGGGTATGGTTCCTGATTTTACTTGGTACGTGCTGTTTAATTCTTGCATCCAGTCGTTGAGTAGTCCTCCCTATGTAGCTGACTACGCAACCACAATTATATTTATACATAATAATGAGGAGGGAGAAGGCCCTTCCGACTGGATGAGAGGATAGGCCTGGTCTTCGATACGACAAGAACCTCAAAAAAATAACAAAAAAAAAAACACTGACGAACATTCGAAGAAATTTGCCTGATTTTACAGTTAGTTCCAATCCAGGGAAGTCGCAAATAAACAGGACATTTTCTGAAATCAGCGATATTTTTAAGGCAATATATATACACATATATATATATATATATATATATATATATATATATATATATATATATATACTGTACTACTACTGTACTGATTCGGCATTCACCCTGGGCGGATTGAGCCGGCTTCTTCCTGTTAAGAGAAGAAGATTCTTGGGATAAATTACAGAAGTAGGGTACCCAGGCCTACTCGGATAACGTTCTTGCTTGCCGCGGGGTTCCCATAGACGCAGAGACAGGAACGACCAGAAGCCGCCGGTTGCTGATGCAGACGCTCCTTGGATTTTCACCAGAACCCTTGTTAGCCGGCGTGTGTGGCAGACCTGTCCGCCTTGGGTGGCCCTACCAGGAACGAAGTTCCGGGCGGCAAGCTCTGACAATACTGTTTACACCCCCCCCACCGACTGTGAGGTAAGGGTTGGACTTTGCGGGCTTACAGTACCGCTTGGGATCACCTGGTACTGTATATATATATATATATATATATATATATATATATATATATATATTGATTGTGAGTCAGTTTTAACATAGTTCAAAATCTATGTTGTGTTAATAGGACTAACCTGGTTGATACCAACATATTACTACCCATATATATATATATTTACTTATATATGCATATATATACATATTAATTTAAGACATGTTTATGTATTCTTTTTTATAGATACAAATATTTAAGTAAATTCTCTGTTTATAATAAACCGTATTAGCAACATTTACCGGCCTGAATGTCCGAGAAATTTTCATAGAAAATATGCGTCCTTTGGCAGGAATCGAAACTGTATCCTATACGGAACCGTCATGTAGCCTGACGTGCCTTAACCGATTGGACCACAGAGGATCGTGCGGTTAGCAAATCGATTTTACTGCTTTTAAAACTACAATCTTCCATGATTCTCTCACGTATCTTCATACCTGCTCAATGCGTATCCAAATGTATACAAATGACGTCTCACATTATGAAATGGACAAAGTCCGACTATTATTTTAAGGCATGTTTATGTTTATACATTTCTTTTTATAGTTACAAAGATGTCACTGAATAGGCGATAAGACGTTTCCGTACAGGATACCTGTTCCATTCCTGTCGGAGGACGAATGTTTTCTATGAAAATTTTTCGGACATTCAGGAAGGTAATTGTTGTTAATACCGTTTCTTATAAACAAAGCATTAACTTAAATATTTGTATCTCAAAAAAAGAATGTATAAACATAAAAAATGTCTGAAAATAATTCTCGGACTTTGTCCATTGCATTATATATATATATATATATATATATATATGTATATATATATATATATATATATATTAAGCATTACGCCCCAAGCAAGGCGTGAAGCCACTAGGATGCAGGGGGTTGCGGAAGATTTGGAGCGAGAGCAGATAGTAGTGATAGGAGAAAGGAAGAGGAGAAGGATAGTGGGTAGATCAAGGTAACTGGAGATGTCGATTGACATTACATTTGAATAGTTGGAGATTATAACCTTCAGGGAAGCAGTAACTGGGAGGGTGTTCCACTGGCGAGAGGTGCGAGGTATGAAGCTATTGGAGTAGAAGAGACGGCTACTTTTGAAAGTTTCTACAGTGTAAGGGTGGGAGCGGGATGCCAGCCTCGTAGGGCGCTTGAATTCATGGAGTCTGGGAACTAGTGAAAGCAGCTCGTCAGAGCAGTTACCATGGAAGTATTTGTAGAAAAGACAGAGAGAGGCGACGGCGCGTCTGTGAGAGAGTGACTGCAGACGAGACGCTAGATCAGGGCCAATTAGATTACATATCCGTCTCTGGATCTTGTCAAGAACTCCGAGGTAAGCAGAAGGTGCTCCAGCCCATATATGGCAGCAATACTCCATGCAAGAGCGAATGGTCGTTTTGTATATTTGAAGTATCGATTCAGGGGAGAAAAATTTCGTGGCGCGGCACAGAGAGCCAACTTTCCTCGCGGTAGAAGAAGCAATTGACTCAATGTATTTGTTCCATTTCAGGTCAGCAGTCAGCGTGAGACCAAACAGACGCAGGGAATTGCTCTCAGGAAGTTGACTATCAGACATTATAATGGGGGGCAGGGAAGGATCTCAGTGGTGGTTAATGGAGAGTAATTTAGTCTTAGTGACGTTAAAGTTGACCAGCCAATTCTTGCCCCAGTTAACAACCGATTGGAGGTCCATTTCGAGACGCACGGCCAGATTAGTTTTGTCGCCGACACTATATATATATATATATATATATATATATATATATATATATATATATATATATATATATATATATATCCGATAGTATGAAGAAAAATATATGGAAAAACAAAAAATCCGAATACGCAAGTATGATGCTTTAATGTTGTTTCAATGTCGACGTCAGACGTTTCGGTCTAGTAGACCTTCCTCAGGACATAGTTATTAAAACATAATTAAAATTCGACTATATCAAGTCAACATGAAAAGACGGTAGACATAAGACTAATCAAAATAGAATTTTAATTATGTGTTAATAACTATGTCCTGGAGAAGGTCGTGTGACTTCGACATTGAAACAACATTAAAACAGCATACTTGCATATTCGAATTTTTGTTTTTCATATATTTTCTTCATATATATATATATATATATATATATATATATATATATATATATATATATGACGATGCAGCATATATATATATATATATATATATATATATATATATCTGTCTGCCGGGTTATTTCATCTTTTGTCGCAGATCAAGCCATCCATTCCTCTTTTTCTCTCTCTCTTTATATATACTTCTCAATTACTATTATCTATCGATCTATCTGCTCTGTTGTCATTTTATCTATTCAGTCCTGATTTCTATATATCTCTCTATATATCTATATATAGATAGAGATATATGTCTGTGTGTGTATACATATAGACCTTTCGTGTTGTTCTTTTTCTCTCATTTTCTAGTAACTATCTATGTATCTGTATGCAATGCATGCATGTATGCTATACCAATATGTATTTCTTTTCTCTTTATATATATATATTTTCATTGATCTCCGTTGTTTTGTGGGTATAGAAATAATTGTTCTTGGTTTTTTATTTAATTTAATATTCCTTCTTCTTCCATTTATTTTTTTTTCTTCCGTAACTCTTTTTATACTTTCCCTCCATCTTTAAATTCTTCATGTCTTCTTTTTTTTTATTTTTTTTCGTTTGCCCTTCATTTGTTTGTATTTTCCACTTCAAATCTCTCTTTTTTTTCCATAGTTATTTCATTATTATCGTCTTTACTTATTGTTTTTTTTATGTACGTTTCTTCTTTTTCGTTCTTGAACAATAATTTTAAAAATACCAACTTTCTCTTTGTTCTTTTCACATAAGTACACTATTCATGTCGGAATTTAAATGAGACCTCAATTTAGAATTGTTCACACTTATATGAGTAAAGAATCGATATTTTATATATTTCATTGTCAAACCGCGTCAGACGATAGCACGGCCATTTAGATGTACAAAGCAAAAGAAAAGTAAAAAAAAATATCTTGTAGAAGCGGAAATTGGACAAGAACACAAGAAAGTAACACATAACCTTACGCGAATGACTATCACCAGTGATATTTTTAAATTTTTATTATCCAAACTTGATAAGAACATTTTCGCTGACACTTCACTTAGCGGTTGAAAACGTCAGTGGACGCATCTTAATCGATAGATATTCGAACAGAAAATTCAACGATTTTGTTTCTACGGATAAACGTTCCAAGCGTCGCTTTTAAGGCCTCACCAAAGCGCGGTACACAGAGTGTACATTCACATAGATACATAGATACATAAACAAGTTTTTCACTAACAGTTATTGACTGTTTGTTCCGTTTAATGTAAAGCCGGTGCCAAGGATCTTTCTATTGTGCTAGGTAAATGTTCATAATGAAAAGAATAATTTAATGCCTATATCCACCGTAAATATATCCTGGTGCCAAAAGGGTCTTATGATTATGTGCACGACGATTATAAACTGATGCCAAGATGTATTGAGGCCCATACGGTCCATGAATGCAGACAGGTGTCCATGTGGTCTTATAACTATGGGCTCTCTGAATGTA